GAATGTAGCACGAATACATATAGGATATTGGTGGGGAAGCCAGAAGGAAAGAGACCACTGGGAAGACCAAGACGTAGGTGGGTGAAGAATATTAAAATTGATCTTAGACAGATAGGGTGGGATGGTATGGATTGGATTGATCTGGCAAAGGATAGGGACCAGTGGAAGGCTTGTGAACACGGTAATGAACCTTCAGTTTCTGTAAAATTCTGGGATAATACTTGAGTAGCTGCACAATCGACACCTTTTCAAGAAGGGCTCAGCTTCATAAGTGAGTGAACCTTTAATATGAATAACGTGATTGTGGACTCTAATGTTGTTTGTGAATGTACCTAAAATTATTATTTTTCTTCCTCTCGCTCCCACTTTGGAACATAGGGCTGATTTCTCAGTTTCAGTGATCACTTTTACAGACAGTAGGACTTCCTGGACGGGTGATCAGCTCGTCTCAAAGCCTCTACTTAAACACAGGACAACACTAACACAGAACAAACGCATTCACTCACCAAACATCCATGCATTGTTTTGGGTTCGAACCCACGATTCCGGCTTCCGAGCGGGCGAAGACAATGCATGCCTTAGACCACTGGGCTACAGTGAACAGCTTAAATAATAATAAAAAAAATACTTTTTTTTTCTGATTTTCGCATTGGAAAATCAAGTGGTCACCTGATGTTCCGGGTTACATATTCTGGTAAGTCTGTAAACGTCGGAAATTTAGCTACAGCCGGTGAAAGTTTTTAAAAATATTATCATTACTGTACAGAAAGCACTTTATTGTTAACTGTCGATGTAGAGAGGCTATTCAGCAGTCAGTCTAATAGGAACCTGCAACAACGTGCAGAGATCACATGTCGCATAAATATACGTATATATTGCCTTCAGTAGTCGCGGCTTCATAAAGTATGGGAACCATTAGCGTGCTGTGATTGCAACGTAAGGTGCAGACGGGGGATACAAGTGTTGTCTTCGGAGCAGCAGTTGTGCTAGCTGGGGCAATCCAGGTGGGAAGGAGCGATTTTCCAAAAAGGTTCATATCAGACATTAAATTATAAGTACAATCTGCTTATCAACTGAAGCGTTCATGCTAAGGTAACAAAAAACACTGAGCGGGAGAGCGAGACTCGTGCGCGGGGGTGCGGCAGCCGCTGTGCCGCCGCGCACTTGCTCAGCTTAGAGGGAACGTTGTTTGCACGGACTGTACGCGTTACATAACAACGCTGTACGAACTGCATGGGTAATGCGGAGTGGTGTGTTGTGATGGGGTCATTACTTGTGGCGAAATTTTGAAAGTTCAGTGAGGTAGCTTCATGGCCTATTTTAGGCACTGTAGCAGAGTTTTCTGCATATATAGACTGGAAATCACTGAAATATACTTCCCATCTGAACACCTCTCGGATATAAGTAAGCTCTTGGGTTATATAGCCCAATGACTGAGGGTACGGGTCAGTACACACATAAGCACTCCTGAACAAGTTAGCCGCTTTCCACATTTGTTATGAACGTTAAGGATATTTCTTAATTTCCTGCAACCAGTAACAACTTAATGGCTGAGGCAAGAAATTTCGAATTTGGGATGATATTACGAGTAATACCGGTAAATATATGGCCATGAAGTGACGTATGGTAATAAATCCTCGAAAAATATGCAACTCGTTTTCATACAGAATGCAAAACAACTGCACGTCGCCTGCCAAAATGTTTAATTTAATTTCCAGTTTGACAGCAATGTCCAGTGGGCTATTGGAGACAGGAATACCCCTGTAGGCGGCCAGGTTTGGACGCTTCTACTGTACCGTGCAAATAGGAAACCTTGTTTCTGGAGGCATAACTGTGACCCCCTCTCACTGAGGAACATAAATACACTGACTCTTCCTCTAGGCTGGGAGCTGGAAGCAAGGCTGCCAAGCTTCCTCCATTAACAATTATTGTTGCGAAATCTAAACAAGTGAAAACCGGACGCAGTTTGCTTCTAAGGAAAGTTGCGACTCAAAAATGACTGTTTAGCCAACGATGACGATGACGATGACGATGATGATATTACGATGTCATAAACATACAATAAATTGTTAATTGCTGTACACAAGGCAACAATTATAAATATGGCGACGGTGCTATTCTCCAGTGTGGTATTCGATGAATGTAATGCAGACAGAATTTGTACTTAAGCAATAAGTTCATCTAAATTAAATACGTTCAGTAAAACAACAACAACGACGACGACGAAGACGACAACAACAACAACAACAACAACAACAACAATAATAATAATAATAATAATAATAAATAACTAGCCGTTTTTAAACCTTTTGAATCGGTTGCATTTGACCATGGAACCTCTTACACACGATCCCGGAACACTGACCAGTAAGGTAAAATTAATTTCTTGTAGCATTATAAATTTAAGTTATTTAAATACAGCATCAACAGTGCAAAATCTGAAACAGAATAGAATTCTTTGTTGGCTTGATGCGGAACTACTTGTTAAAAAGCAATAAGGTAAAAAAAGAGTGATTTGGGAACTATTGTTCCCAGGATTAATGTTGAAAACGTATACATTAGCTGAAATACATTTTGCCCCACAATAACATACTCTCACGTCTGATGCCTCAATATTCTGATTTAAATACGTGGAAGTTTGAGCCGTAAGTCTTTTGCTTGTAATCCAATGCAGGCAACTGCGTTGGACAGGGAGGATACGTAAAACCGTTACTCTTCAATAGACTAGGTGCTTGAGCTCTGCCCAGTGTTGCTGTACACGTTACACATGCTTTAAACTGAGCAACATCCATGTCTGGAAACTCTGGAGCTAATACACTTCTGTTTTTTTCACATCTTCCAACAGTAGAATTATTGCATTCGTCCGTTCCTGTGCTTTTTACGGTTTGTTGCCCTGGGTGTCTCTACAGCACTTAAATTTATACCGAATGTATGGAAACCCAGTTCTTTAGTTGCCTGTTACTTGTAACATGTGAATACGTGCAACAGCAGCATTTGTTCAGGAGGCTGATTAACCTCTTTGATAGTTTAGATGGTGGAACGCGTGTTGATCCAGGGGAAACACTGTGTTGCCCACTCAACAAAAGTTGTCTCCATGTAGATTACTGGATAAATGCGAGCACAGAGATAAATAGTTGGATCTTTCTCAAGGATGGCAAACCAGACTTTCTTCATCGTGCTCCTTCACAGAATTGGTGGCTAGTTGACATTACGGATGTGAAGTTCATGTGGAAGATAGTAAGCATGGTGGGTTTTAAGTGCCTTCACACTTGAAACCTGAATCAGGATTCCCTTGAGAACACATTTGGAGTCATCGTTTGTACGGTGGTTCAAAGAGTAACACAACTGTGGGACAATTTGTAGATAACCTGAAGACTAGCATCATCAGTGGACTTACTTTTAGAGGTCTTTGTGAAATTAATTTTTCGGATGATGGTACTACTCTTCTGGATAACCTACAGTCCTTGCTCAGCGCCCTTGATGCTTTTCATCGAATCCCTCACCTAGATATGGCAAGGAAACCGTTCGTGCTGTTTCTGAGAGTTTCCATGTTGCTCATCATGTACAGAAAGACATAAGTGCTGCAGTACATCCTGGTGACATGGAAATGTTCTCAATGGGCTATGTCAGTTGTGCCACTGCAACAAAGGGGCTTCATGGTGTCAACTATGATGCTTGCTAGACATATCTGACATCTCAAGTGCTGCTATCAACCAATGTCTACATATATTTCAAGGAGTGCAATGATACAGAAAAGTCCCTCACCTGTCCTTCTGAGAAGCTTGTGGAGACTGCTGATAGTTCTGTAACTCTAATAAAGTTTATGTTGTCAGAGGTAGCCCACCTGAACTCAGTGGAATGGCATTTCACAGCTGCCATTGTTAACAGCATTGACTTTGAATTGATTAGGTGTACTGGCTATAGACTTCATCACCATTTAACAGTAGATGGCATTGTGAGAGATCTCACGAGAATTTACATACTCGTACCTTGGTAGTGCAAGCGAACAAATGGATTGGTGACTGGAGAAGCCAGGCAGAGGGCCACAAAGAAAAAGATGATAGTCCTGGCACATCAGTAAGTCATTAAGGAAGTAAGGCTTCTTTATTTTTGCCTTGTATTGTCCTGTCCATACCAGTTAAATAGTATTTTATAAATTTTATTATTCTTGGGTGTATTATCAAGCTGTTTTATTATTATGTACGAGTATATATTCCTGTAGTTATTTTATTACTTTTGCCCTATTATTGTCATCAATACTGAACTTGTGTACATGCATGTATTTCACATTTTGAAGGATCATTATATTCCTTCTGTTGTTTTAGTATTTCGGTTATATTATTCCATTAAGTATTCAACTTTTAAACACGAGTATATTTCAGGATCATGAGATTTGTCCTAGCTCTGCAATTATTCTATAGCTTTTGATATAATACTGAAAAATATTTCATATTCTCCAGTTTCATCATAGTACTGAAATTGATAATAAATGGGAATCTCAGCATTATTACTCGCTATACTGATTTAAAATACATTAATTTAACCGAAAATTTAAGTTCAGCGTAGCTTTCAATTATAATTTTTGATCAAAGTTATGACGGTGAATACAAGTATCCCTATTGGAAACAGAATTTTCTTTCAAGTTTACACACATTCAGTTTTCCTAAATCCACGCAACTATTTTATGTGTGTTATACGTAGTTTACAGTGCCCAGTGTATTTCAGTAAAGAGATGTTGGATTGATATAAATGAAGTGTTCATACTGTACAAACACTGGCGAGAAACTTTCTCTTGGTGGTTGTGGTTTCTTTGGAAAGGGGGGGGGGCAGTACGCATAGTTAAGTGTTATGATAGCATACCTTCTTACCGATCATTCTCTTGGCACTGGCGGCGGGCATTCTGTAGCAATCGACTTGGTTACGAATATAGAGGGCAGCATTAATGCTTTCGGATGTCACGGCGGCTACGTTGCCAGCCTCAGTTCGCTGAAGTCGGTCAAGGGAGTTTCTAGTACGGTATTGCTTCTAGCAGCTGTCGACACAAGTTACTGGTTTGTGATATTTTGATCTTGGTGCATTTGATTCGTTATTGAAATATTTAAGCCTAACTGCAGTTCTAACAGTGAAACATATCTGCGTGAGACTCCTGTGTATGGCTGAACATGCACTGTTGTAATCAGTAGCACGTGGCGAAGTTAACCTCGCGCAGCATTCTGTTGTCTGTGCTTGATGTATAAACTGCTTGACTGCACAAAGCCGGAGGCACCGTAACAGTGGAAGGAAGGCAGCGGATTGGTTTTGCCACGATACGAGGTTAGTTGGGTCATCTTATTTTGTATACACATCCAGCGACAGGTAATACAAATAGTGTCCGGAGGAATACATTTTTTTTCCATGTAGGTCACTTTAGCATGCGTACTGCAACACTGAAAATTACAATCTCGACATTTTTAGAGAAAGACACGGTTGTTAGTGACATTTGAATGACCGTCTGCGACTCAGAGGTCTTGTTTGGTACACGAAAATATATTCGTATGTTAAAACTTTAGAATATAAGCCCTGCATGTCGATTAAAGTAAAAATACAGTTTCTTCAAGCTGTTTCCATTTTACTCCTATAAGGCATTAGAGTGTACTGTCCTAATAATGTTTTACGAGATCCATTTTACAAAGCTAACCAATTGGCATCTGTTAGTTTCTTTATAACTAGTATAGTAAATATAACAAAGTTTATGGACTGTACGTATTATGGGTGGTTTATCATGACTGCAGAATCAGTTTGGTTAAATAAGGTATTAAAAATTAAAGTTGTTCCCGTGCATAAGCCCTATGCCATGGAGGCGTATGGGAGTGTGGATGTATAGATCCACATTTTCTTGACCTCGGCACAAGTTGGAGGTGAGTGGTCAGCTTCACGCCCCGGCCGCGTTACCTCCGGGGAAAGATCCCCTGTACCCACTGGATAGGAGGTTGGGTGGACGACTTGGAGAAGAGAAAATTCTGCACCCTACTGGGACTCGAACTCCGACCCATCGGTCGTGCAGCCCGTAGCCAGTTGCTATACCAACTACGCTATTCCGGCTGAAGGCATTATCTTCGGAAAACATTTCTTACTTATGAATGTTGTTATGTAACACATCTGGTGTACTGTAATTACTCATTTTCAGTGATAACTTATTGGTAAAGGTTGTAACCGTCCAGTCCTTACGTTGGGCTCCACCTCTTCTTTCTATAGCCGTCCTTACCTCAACTTCACTTCCCCCCCTTGTTGGTTGGTTAGTCACGCGTTGTTCGTCGCTCCTCTCCTCCTTTCTTCTTCTTCTTCTTCTTCTTCGGTTGGGCGCCAGTAAGCTCAGGTGGTGTCGGCTTACAATAGTCGGAGGTTTATTTTGGAAAGGGGGTAAAGGTGATAGTCAACTAGTTCAGCTGTGGGTAGAGCTGGGATCCTTCTCAGAGCGTTTGCTAGGGCCTCGCTTAGAACGGGGAGGGAAGCAGTTGGTTCAATGCTACTTTGCACTTAAACACTGTGACCATTTATTGAGATCAACACTTCCCTTCACCTGATGGCGCACACACGCGCGCACACAGTCAATACAAAGGATACTTATATATAGGTCCTTGTCTAGCACAGTCCTGGTATAACGGACGTTATTATTACAATTTACGCTTTCTTTAGCACTCTGAATTTGGTTATACAGAACAGCGAAAAACACAGATTTTGTTTCCGAATTATTTACGAGTAGCAGGCACTTGGCGACTGTTTGGCAACTGTTTGTCAACTAACTTGTGACTCTTTGTCTGAAAACACTGAGGTCCCCTGGACGTCAGTTCCCCTGCTAAGTCACTCCCCCTTAATTCCACTGATTGGGTAATTTTGAGAACTGGGGTTTACACAATTTCTGGATCTCCAATCAGCTGGCTGCAGTTTGGGGCCTTGACTCTTAAAGTCCTAACGTCGTTTTTGACAGTACACTGACAGATAACCTGCTTGGCGTGGGCTTCAAAACCGCCTACTTTTAAGTAACGACATGCAGGACCTGTCAGTGATCGAATTCTCAAAGTTTGCCGCCGTGCTACTCACAAACAAAATTTCTCAGATAAAGCCACGGGGTGTTTCCTGTGTAACATCAAGATTTGGAATAAGTCCATTCCTGAAAACAAGAATGTGACTATGTCCCACTGGCTTTAGTATTACTTGTTTGCAATTAACTTTTTGTTACTGATTATTCTAATTATACTTAAATTAGTGGGTGACAGTGGAGCGGTTACAAGGTTGCATCTATGGACATTTTTGGAAAAAATAGGACGTCTTGCGTTTCAAATATATGTTACCTAAATGAAACTTTACACCAGTTTTGTCAAATAACTAACATTCATGACTATGAATAAACATTCAAAGTTATTGTGACCTGTAAATGTAATTAACGATACAATGCAGTTTATAACAGCGGTTGCTAAACTTGTAGGATAGAGTGTAATAACCAGTTTAAGGCTGTATTTAACATTAATATCAAAATTATATATATGTATATGATACGTTATGTAAATAACTGTAACTGAAACTTGGGTGTATGCTTCACGGCCCGGTCGTCATTTATATAATTTAATTCAACAGTTTCTAAGCCCCAAAATGAATCTTATAGAGACCGGATTGAATGGCATTGATTGGATTGATCTGGCTCAGGATAGGAACCAGTGGAGGGCTCTTGTGAACACGGTAATGAACCTTCGGGTTCCATAAATTACTGGGAGGCCCTTGAGTGGCTGCACAATTGATGGCATCTCAAGAAGGGCTCAGCTCCATAAGTGAGAGAGAGAGCGTTTCAAAGCCCGATTTAAACACATACTCTGTGTACTGTCTGGGGTATTTTATTGAATTCTCTATGATTGTAGCTTAATACCTTTAGATCTTATATCATCGTCGTCATCACCATCATTATCATCATCATCATAATTACTACCATCAGTATACCTTTCTGTCACTACCTCACCATTTCTGTCAAACTCATAATCACCAGTAACATCAAGATGAAACTTCGATACATATATAACATACCTCACAAATTGCTTTTAAATGTGTCGAACCCTGCCTTCCTTGAGGAAAATACATCGCTTGCAACTGTTTGAAAATGAATTTCTTAAGACAGTATTCGGAACTAAGCAGGAACTGCCATGTGCTACAAATTGTATTTTTATTTCAATTGATGGACAATCCATGAAGCATAACGGGAACGCCTTGTTTTATGCACGTCGCCAAATTTTAGCAGGTTACTGTAACAGTTATTAATTTAGTGCGATGAACGCTTAGTTCTTAAACGACGGTTCGCAAGGACTGACGTTTACGTTTGTAAGCAAAACTTCTGAATTCATATCCTCGCCTGTTGCTGGGCCCACACACTGTCTTACCCAACGCACACGTGAGACATTTCCCTTGAAAGAATGACCGATTCTTACTATCTATGAGAATTAATTAAAATTAAACTGAAACTCTCCTATATCCAAGGTTGTTCTGGTGACATGGAAATAAGTAGGCCTATTGAAATCTAAACATTATTGTGTTAACATTGAAAGGATTACCTTCTCAAAATTCCAAAAATTGTGTGTGAATTTGTATGGATCGTATGTACGTTTTCCAAAAGAATCAATGGGAGACAGATTTGTCAGTGGATGTTTAACTTTCCCTTTTCAATAACCGTGAGTTATTTTTGTTGTCAAATCGATACGTAATGCTCTCTATTTATTCGCCTGTAACAGCTTAAATGAAAAACATATGAAGTACGAGATATGAATTCTTTGACCCTTCTTTCATTAATATTGAAAACGAATGGGTGAGATGAGGTGAGTATTAGCACATCATACTCTCTAAGTCTGAAATGAATATTTGGTATTAACTAAGGACATTATAACGCAGATTCTGTACTTCATTACATATTTAAAATATCCCACGTTTTAGGTTACGATAAATTAGTCAGGTAATTAAGTAAAATTGAATATAATTTCACATTATATTCGGCTTCCAATTATTTAGCTAAACCCTATTGCATAAAGTGGGTTGGCGTAGTTGTAGCTGTTGAGACTCGTTTTTCGGAGGTGCTTGATTCGAACCTTGGCCAGGACACCTGATATAATTACTGAAGTCTTAATGACTTTCTTCACCTTCCAACAAAATGCTAGGATAGTACCTCTGTTAAGTCAAGACCGAATCCTTCCAAATCCTACAGAATTTATCATTCATCAGTCATCCTGCGTCGTAACCTGCCTCCAAGAAAACAGCATAGAGATTTGTCTCACTTACTTCTCGATGCTGATTAATGTACAAATTGGTCTCTTCTTTATACAAGGTGATTTAAATATGACCGGGACTGATTTGTGTGTATACAAGCCGCACTGCGCAGCAGCTGTGTGACCTCGAGAGAGTGAAGCCACAACCTCCACCCTCCCTCCTGTTCGGGTTAGGACCTGTTCAGTCCTGTCTGGGAGTTGCTAGAATGATGAGTGAACAGAAGGTACCGCGGAGCATGGAATAACGCATTCTGATCAAATTCCTCGTTGGAGAAAACGTCCCGTCCGCTGAAATTCACCACAGACTCAACAACAGTATGGGGAAGAGTGTCTCTCACGGACCCGTGTGTTTGAGTTAGATGAGTTAAGATGAGAGGTTGCCGGTGAATTTAATTCAGTTTGAATTACCTGATGAATTTAATTATAATGAACAGACATGGAAAGAGTTGAAATTCGCTGAATGTTTACTATTTATCATCGAAACCTTTTAAGTTGATTGGAATTATAAGTGTATGAAAATACAAATACAGTCCATATTTTCCATGTCATTTAAATATGACGCACAAAAACCGCATTTAAAATTTTCGGCATTTTTATACCCACACATATCGGACACGTTGTCTCAAGTGGTAACGCTTTCGACTTATGTTCGGAAAATGCCCAGTTCGAACCTCAACCGGGACACAAACTATCCTAACTAAGGACTGCAATGATTTTCCACAGTCCCTTCAGACAAATGCTTGGATATTACCTGAAATTGAGCCACGACCGCATCCAATTCATTGCACACTTTCATACAGTCGCTGGATGCTATATAATGTGAGTAACTGATAGTGTCGTGAAATGAATTATAATCAACTGAAACTACAGTAGTGTTTTTGCAGTCTCTAAGTAGCATTTTGATCTACTAACTAGCGGGTATATATGTCAGGTGCCTAATGCAGTAGCGGTAACTCTGCAAATCAACTCAATTGAAAGCGTAGTCAATGTCCATGCTTTATTAAAAAAGCTCAGTGGTTTTAGTCCGCAAGC